GGCGGATTCCAGTATGAAGAAGAAATAGACAAGATGACTTCTGATTTGTGCTTTAGAATGATTTTTGACATTCAAAATTTGTATATATGTGCACATTTCTTATAAAAACAAAGCCACATTTAAGACTACTGTATTTGATTCAGTTGACATAAAGAAAAGGGACATCAAAAATCAAATATTTACCTATATTATTTAAGGGAATGTTTTTAAACATTTATAAATAATAATATAGTAGACATTTTGATATTAAGCTAAAATGTTACATTTCATTTTATATCATAAAGGCAACTCAATGTACTTTCTTTAGTTTCTTTTATCAATATTAAATTGGACATTAATTGTTCAATTTTTAGATATCTCCTTTGATTTTTTTTTAAATTCAAAGAAAAAAGTATTTTGATTTGAAAGTACCTGGAGCTAGAGAAAGTTTTCAAAAAATTATGAACATTTATTAATTTATTTATTTATTAATTAGACTTATATACCGCTTCATAGGGCTTTCAGCCCTCTACATACATGCATAATTCTATTGATATAATTGAATTTTAAGATGTTGAAACTAAAATTATAGAATAGTTGAAGCATGCATATTATGAGTTTAAATCTCATTCCACATTACTAGCTTCCAGTAAGTATTACCGATATTATAGGATTTCAGGAAGATGTAGCTGTTGCATATTTTTTTAAGATGATATAACAAATTTTCCAAATGGAAATAAAAATTTCATTGATTATATTTTAAACTTTGCTACTTTTTAATAAAATGCACATTTTGCAGAAAATGATAATATATGAAACATAATTATATTTTGAACATCTTTTGAAATTAATGAGTTAGATTCCTTTTATCTCAGCTGATTTACTTAAAGTGACTGAATTTGAGTATTTTTTAAACCATAAAACAATCTGCAAATCACAGTTTCAGATCTCTCTCTTACCATTCAGAACAAGTCTTGTTACCTGTATGCATACTTTTACATAACAATATGTAAGGTATATTGCATCACTATTATATAACAATAATTACCTTTTGGAGGTTGGGAAAAGAGTTTTTGGTAAGCAGCAATTACATTTACAAGGACACTGTTTCTGTTTGTAGGAACCTGGGAGACCACTTTATCATGAAGCTGAAAAAATGAGAATGATCATTGTAAAAATGAAAATCTTTTCAGATCTTTTTAGTACAATTTTAGGCACATTTTAAAATAACTTACGATGCTTACAGTAAGTCATTCAACAATGGAAGTGTGACAAGATCCTGACAGATGAGAATGTAATTAAAAAAATATTAGAATGTGCAGAAATGGATAGACTAATGCTTACTATTAAGGGCAAAGAAGAAACTGAATACTTTTTGACATGGGACTTATTTTATCAATGGTTAGACAATAAAAACAGAAGTTAGAAATGCAAGGATAAATATTAAAATTGAAGTTTGATAAAATAGACAAGCTAAATATTATTGTTATTATAGTATCAATGTTATTGTGATGTTATTGTAAGCATTTTGATTATGATTGCCTAAAAACAACTGTACCCAGACAACACACAGTTTGATTGAAGTGGAATTTTTACATGTTATTCAAATAAAATAAATATAATATTAAAAAAAAGATGCTTATGGTGAGGATTACTGGTAAACTGCATCCAATATTCTTAGATTTGAATTTACATAAACCTATCCAGGATTATATCTCACTGATGTCACACTTCCATTATATTGTACATTCCCTAACTTCTTCGGAATTCCGATGAGAGCCCCAGGAAAGCAGTACTTCAAAATGGCTTTCAACATCCAACAATATCACACCCATACAGGAAGCACATTTGGAATTTCTTAAAAGTTACATCAGCCTCATGTCTAACAATAGTGTGATCACTAGAAATGATCAGAACGCCCATGAATGAGGAGATGAGGAATAGATAATCCGTTAGCTCTTCCTTGATATCTATGTGAGCCATGGAATACAAGTAGTTTTCACAATTAGCACAGTAGTAAATGGGAAATAGAATGCTGTAGCAAATATCTATGGAGATTCTCAGTCATCCAGACCATGGTGGTCTCAAAGATGCTTTTTCAAAAGGCAATTGGGTTGTTTTTTTCCTTGAAGGAAAAACATAGACCATTCGCCTTTTGAAAAAGCATCTTTGAGACAGAATGCTGTACTGTATACTTCTTCCGGCAACAAATTTAACAGAAGTCTTATTTTTCTGTTTAACGATTTTAAAGTTACATAAGGTTCATATATTGTGCTAAACTGGGATTCACTGAGTAACAGAGTATGAAGGACTGGGTTATGCAAGCAACAAAATGGTCCAGCCGTCCACTATACGTTTTTGTGCTGGTTTTGAACATCTGAGGGAAGCTTCTTTTCTACAACTTACAATGGAACAAAACTTCTTTAAGTTAATTTCTTTCCCAAGTAATTGTCAGGGTTCCGACCATGCCCTAATTAAATCGTGAGTTGACATTAAAAATATCAACTGTCATTGTAGAAAAATATTTTTTCTACAATTGCTTACCAGATAACTAAAGCATAATTAATAGCTACTAAATACCATGCGGAATAAAATTCTTTCTTCCTTATGGAATCAGGCACCCAAGCATTTTACGAGAATCCCAGCACATGATGAGAGAGATGGGGATTTTGTTGCACTGTAATGTGTTTTAAACTTTCTGATGATGTTGAGGTTCACTCTTAAGTCTGCCAGAGAGGACGCCCCATTTAAAAAGATTATAGGATATTCATTAGTATTAAGGCTGCCCTAAAGGGAGCGATCCTGATCTGAACATGCAGATCTGTTGCGTTCTTGCCGCGAGCAAAAACGCAAGCTACGCAAATGTGCATCGTCCCGGCCGCTGGCTCAGTCGATTCGGGTGATTAGGGGCTCAAGAACCGCTTATGGGGGGGAGGGGAGGGCAGCAATGGAGGAAAGAAGACACCCATCTGCCCTTGCCCTGCTTATCATATGTGACTCACCTGTCTCAAGGAGCGGGAAGGGACAGCTCGACCTCGGGACCAAAACTGCAGCTGAGGTCCGGGGACCCGAGTAGGCGTCCGCCGGCAACAACCGCGCGACAGCCACAGACAGCGATGAGCCATGGCTCCCCCCCAAACAGGCCTAAAGGCCCCACAAGCACAACTCTCTCACGCCTCCTGAAGAGGCTGGACCACGCTCCTGGCGCTCCGTTTCCGTCATCACGTCGACGTCCTCCTCCTCCTCCTTTTCCCATGCGCGCGCAGAGCGTCTCTACGCCTGTCATTTGCCTGCGGGCGTCCCGTTTCTTTTTGCAGTCCTTTCTTTTTTTTCTAAATTGTGGAAGCGCTGCTGTTTCCCAAGCCAGTTTTCGTGCAACAGTGCCTCCGTGCTTTTCCAGAAGGATCTTTAGGAAATAGGAAAAAGATCCGCTAAAGTAGCCCAAAATTCGGACCAAAATAGCATAAATAGAGAGAATAAGTTTGAAAAGTTGCAAGTTTAGAATTATATTTGCAGACCTTCTTCATACATAATCAGTTTCGCAGAGGAGGATAAAGATGACTTTTGTATGCTTTTGCTTCAAGATAGTACTACAACAACAACAACAACAACAACAACAACAACAACAACAACAACAAGGCTTGAACAGAGCAAGTGAAATATAACTGGCTTGTTTTCTTTCAGAATTCTTAGAAAACACCTGATGCTGGAAACTGGGCTACTAGATTCTAGTTTGTGAGGAATACAAGACTCACTGTGTTAAAGAAATTGCTCAATAATTAATGGGATTTATGTTCAAGCAAGTAGAAATGAAATTGTGGCAATTTTGTTAAATGAACATGAACTGTTTTCTAATTAAATGGTAATTATCCAGGAAATAAAAACATGGTTTCAAGTCTGCTCCCAATCTGAAAAACCTTTCTATATGTCTATGGAGAGTTTTAGTCATCCAGGTCATGGTTGTTCCAAAGGTGCTTTTTCAAGAGGCAACTGAATTTTCTGGTTTTTCTTTGAAGACGTTTTGCTTCTCATCCAAAAAGCTCCTTCAGTTCTGACTAGATAGTGGGGAATGGCAGGATTTATACTCCTTGCAGACAACTGGACATTTGCATTCTTTTAGTCGTTGAGGTCACCTTTTTTTTCTATACTTCAATTTTATAATCACATGATAGGTGTGACTGTTGCCCTTGCTGACCCAGCTTGAACTGGACTATATAAATGTGATACTCTGAGTTCTAGGACATTCTGACAAGCAGCAAGGGCATCAATAGCAAAAAAAAAAAAAAGGTTTATCTTGGTCTTTGTTCACACTATTACATCACCGCATGACTGATCTACCTTTCCTCCAGAAAAAAAATAGCTTGGAAAGGACTTAAAAATCTGTTTTACTAAAGGTTTTTAAACCAGGGAATAAAATAGTTTAAATTACAAGGAAGTTGATTTATACTGGGCATCTGGAAAAAAATTCTAACATTAAATACTAATCCAGTTGGCTGAACTACAGATGTCTGAGGTTGCACTACATATGGTAGTAATGCTGTACATTAGCTAACAGTTGAAATTGCACAATGCTCATTGTCAACTTTGACCAAAATACCTACTAAGTGAACATGCCCTTCTGATAGGGCTATGCGTTTCTTTTTTGTTTTAATTAAAATTAGTGATCCAATACGATTAATTATTAAATTCGGTGGATTTAGCCAGGCATATTTTAAAATGAGGACATTCTTCTTTAAAGTGCTGCCCATTCGGAAGTAAGTTCTATTCGCAGTGCTTCTCAACCCTGGCAATTTCAAGAGGACTGGACTTCAACTCCTAGAATTCCCTAGCCGAAAAGCCCGGCCGCGTAGCAATGACGGCGCCGACCGACAAGGTGAACTCGGCGTCTCCGGCTTCAAGGGCGTTGCCGCCTTTCCTTGTGCGCTTGGCCCGCCTTTTCCCGCCTGCCAGAGCCGAGAGTGGCTGACCCAGGAGATGCTCTGCCCTTGCCTTGGTGACGCAAATGCTGACGTCTCTGGCCACATTCCTGTCCGGGAAGCTTTGCCTTTTCCTTCTGAGCCCAGAAGCCGGTGCCTTCCGCCGTGCAGCCGCCGCTCTTTGCAGGATGAAGATCTGGAGCTCGGAACACGAATTCGGGTAAGGGGAGGCAGAAGGGGAGGACGTAGCTTGACATCCAGCACGGGTTCCTCTATAGCCTGTTTTGTGGAAGATCTCCAGCTTTTCCTAGCTTGCCGTCTTGCCGTCCCTTTAAATTCCCTTTAATGGGAAAGGCTGAAGTGATCCACTCTGCTGGCGCTAATGAAATCGTGGTTTATTTCTTGGATTTGCGCAGTGGGCTAATCCATAACCCACGATTTACAAATCGTCCCGCCTGGATCCCTGGAATGTTTCCTAAAGATACAATGAGATATCAGATATAAATATAAACATGATTATGTATACATGAAATGAATACGAAAGAAGGAATATTAGGACAGGGACGGTAGGCACGCTGGTGCGTTTATGCACGCCCCTTAAAGACCTCTTAGGAATGGGGTGTCTTGTCTGAAATGGTAGAAGATCTCCTGCTTGAGCAGGGGGCTGGACTAGAAGACCTCCACGGTCCCTTCCAGCTCTATTCTGATTCAAGATGTGTGAATGCAGCCCGTTAACCCACAATTTATTGGTCAGCGCCAGGGAAACCCGTTTCCTATAACGTCTCTGCCTAACTGCTGTAGCTTTGCCGACCTCAGGGTCATGATGTCGAAGACTTAGGTAAAAAGTGAGAAGAGCTTTAAAAGTTGGCTGGTATTGGTGGGTGGGTGTAGAGAGAGTTACACTCATTTTGATTTATTTAAGGCATTAATTCAGTGTTTATAGTAACAAGGTCTTTCCCCCCTTCTTGTCCTTATTGCAGGGCAAAGTAGTTCTTGATTTGCCCTCTAACAGAAACTGGTAAGAGGACACTTCTGCTAGGATGCTGGAAGGTCATCAAGTTGGTGTTTTCTTCCTCTATAAACGTGTGTGATCCAGGTTGGCTAGCCCTTTGTGGATGATCTTAAAACCCTTACCTGTTCTGAGGTTTTTAGAAATAGTTTTCTGATGTGTGCAATTTTAATAAACAGTTTGATTAAGTGGCAAGTAATACTAGCCCTAAATCTTCCTCTCTGTCCCCACTGTTTTGACATATTTGAGTCTGCTTTGGTTATGAAAAATCCAGAATTTGGACTTCAACTTAAGTCCAAATTCTGATTTTTTTTTCATAACCAAAGCAGATTCAAAAATGTCAAAACGGTGGAAGCCAGAGAGGAAGATTTAGGACTAGTTTTACTTGTCAATCAAACTGTTTATTTGTTTTTCCTCATTTATGTTTCTTTGTATGCATACATGAGAAATATTTTGTTTTCTAAATCCATTTCTTCTTTGTCATCTTTTTTTAGTAGAGAGTTTGTCCTTTTAGAGACCAAATTAATATAAAACAGATTTAGCACTTCAAGGAAGGGTGGCTAAAAGTAAGAGGTAATGTTGTGATATATCTCCAAGTATACAGATATGGAGGAAATAAATTCATGATCCAATTATTTTGGAATTTTCTAAGTAGAGAATTTAGGACACTGTAAAAGTTGTCTTCATTGTAATGGTCTGTTGGATAATTTTTGTTTTGCATGAACAGAAGTTATATTTTCTCTCTGGCAAAATTATGTTTCTTGCATGGAAATTAGAATTACGATTTTCTCAAACTCCTTTGATACATTTGGTTTACATTTAAAGGCTTCAGTGATTGTCCAGTCATGAAAAGCAGATACCCTAAATTATGTACAGTATTATGTATACTGTATATAATTTAACAGTATATTATACTATATTATTATGTAGCATAATATACTGTTAAATAACTGTGCTATTATAAAATGATTCTATGAAGTTTCAGGATAAACTATAGGTCTTTCCTACTCACTGATCTTTTCCCAGAACCTCATACAGTTCTTCCAGCTGATACTGAGTGTGTCTGTCTGTTTAATAGAATGAATATGAACAAGCCCAATATAGTATCCTTCAGCTATTCTAATTTTCAGGCTTCTAAATGATTCTGAAAAGTACTGCTGCTTTAAGCATCACATTGAAGGTAATTAGTTGGTGTCTTTAAACAGTCACACCTTTTTTAGACTTCCATGGAAGCCTAAAAAAAAGAGGGTACTTTAATAAACGGCAGGGTGGTTCTGAAAAAATTTTTTTTTGAGGAGTCCAATTAAATATGCCATTCTCATCCTTGTGTCCCCCCCCCCCGAATGTTTAAAGACATCTGAATGTGAACTTACCCTTTATCATCTTTCTGTACAGTGCCTGGTTAGATTGCATAAACCCTAAGATTGCACATATTGGTGTGATGAAAATCTTGTAATCTCTTACTGACATTTCAGCTATTTTAAATCTGCATTTCTATTCTGCAATAGATACCAAAATGAGAATACAAACCTGTGGCTGCAGTTTCCTACCAAAATTTATAGAACCCTCTTCTAATTATATCAATAATATTCTGCTAAGAGAGGACTTTTTAATTAATACGTGAAATAATTCCTTGGTGGAGGATCATTTTTTTTGAATGAAAATTGAAGATAGTGGTACTTATACTTAATATTGGTCAGTGCTCCTTCCACTAAAAATGGAAACAAAGGTGGATACATTTTTAAGACATGCAAATTGTGGTGCAAAGGTAGCAGGTAGAATATGAACAAAAATTGAATATTTATCCCAATAATTTAATATGGCTGGCTGTGTGAATGTGCTTTTGCCTAATTTATTATATAGAAATGAGTGTTGGTTATATCAAAAGAAATATAAAAGTAACTTGATGTAGGAGAAATTGGCTATGTTAAAGGGGGTAGCTTATAAATTTATGAAATAAGAATGCATACTATTGAATGAACATTAAATACAAAAAATGAGCAAGCAGTGTAAAAGAAGAATGTTGGTCATAGAGAAATTCCACTCTTCCACTGTTAGTTCCACTCCAGGGCCAGGTGGCGAGAATTGTCAGGGCCCTGGTCTCAGGC